CTTAGTGTAAAAACCCAATTAACACAAACAAAAACGTCTCGTATAAAAATAAACCCTATTGGAAGTAACGCAAGCTCACGTTATATTCTGTCTCTTATACACATCTAGATGTGTATAAGAGACAGCTAACACAATTAAATTCAATTGTGTTAGTTCGTAAAATCAAAAAAGCGCGTCAAAATACGCGCTGTTGTCGTTAAGGACTTTTTGTGTGGTAAAGAATACAAAATTGCTTGACAACCAATACGCGCTCGTTTTGACGCGCTACTGTGATTTCACGAACTAACACAATCTACTTTGATTGTGTTAGTTCGTGATGTGAGCGACGAATTGTAGGATAAAAAGACTAAATAGAGCAACTTTAAAACACAACTCTACAATACAGGCAGTAAAAATTTCTTGTATCTTTAAACTATTGTAAGATAAAAAGGCTAAAGGAAGCAACTTTAAAACACACAGGAATAGGAAGAGAAAATGAAGAATGAGATGAATATTGGAGCAGAGCTTTTATGACTGTTTATGTTGGAAATTTCCACTGACCTGTGACCCCATCTGTTGGTGCACTGCTGTTAGATCCTTTGACACAGTAGAAGCCCTGGTCACACTCTCCTGTAACATTAGTCCTACCTCCAACCTCACAATAATAACCTACAATAAACAATTTTTAATGATAAAAATTAAAATTTCATACTAAAAAATTTCTAAAAATCATTAACTTTCTCAGCTTTTAAAATTGTTAATGTTAGTTATCCTGGTAAATATTCATGTAAAAAAATATTGAATATTACAATCCAGAATTAAAGAAATAAAATAGAGTAATTATATTGATCAATGTAAAGGTACAGAATACATTCATCATTTCAATGCACCAGAAAACGTACAAATGTAAGCAAGGAAATCAGGGCAACTAACAATCATCAGTCCTAATAGCCAATAACAATCAAATCAAATAATGAATAATAAATCAGGGAGCCGAAAGTTGGCCCCATCAAAACAACACTGAGCTGTGAACAGTACTGTATTTCTTTGTTGTTTTTTTTTTTGCATTTTCTTTTT